CTCTCTCTGTCTCTCCATCTAGCTGCCTACCTATCTATCATCTATTTATCTATTTATCTCTCTCTCTCTCTCTTTTTGCCTCTCTTTCTCTCTATCTCTGTCTCTGTCTCTCTCTCATATATATACCACCCATCTAACAAAGAGGCAACTCTAGGGAGCTTACCATCAATCAAAACTACAAAATAAAACATTGAAACAATAAATATCAACACTAATATTGCTTTCAAATTAACAAAGATGGAAGGAAAGGGATCAAGGTGCCTGCGAGGAAGCGTTGGGACCCATTAACCACCTCCACAATGACACCCCCACACACACACTGGAGGACCCATTGAGATGCAGGCCAGTTGGCAGATCTTGGGGCTCTTTCCAAAAGGGTGGGTGTGGATCTCACCTCCAGAGCATGATATTACATTTGTTAAGATAGGTGAGAAAAATTTGGTGCATTGATTCTATATTCTACTTTATGAAAAAAAATAATGTAAAACCTGCAAAATCAGGTGTTGATTAATTTCTCTTGAATGTCTCTCAGTTTTGATTTGTCTTCTTGTTGAAGACAGCAGAAGAAAGTACTACTTTTGTCACTCTGAAGTACTCTGGTGGTCCAGTGGGCAAAAGAACCAGCTGGTGTTGGCAATGAATGAAAGATGGGAAGCTAGGTCTATCGGGGAAAGTATTATACAATGAGAGACAAGATACAGGTATTCCTTGATTTACAGCCGTTCGCGTAGTAACCATCCAAAGTTACAACGGCACTAAAGTGTGTGTGGGGGAGAGAGATGTAATTTAAGATTTGCAAGATTCTGTTAATTTAACCTTGCAATAAAACCAGAACTTTTAAGGTAGTGTAGCGAGAAGCAAACCCAGAAGTACTGGACTATCTTAGAAGGCTGCTGTCATAACACCTACATGGTACATTCATGCAAAAATAATAATTAACAAATCACAGTTCCGAGGGCACATAATTTGTCCTAATGATTCTGGATTTCCTTATGTTTTTCTTTCTACTCATACATTAGAAATGTAAAAGTTATGACATTTATAATGCAATATTTTTAAAAAAACAACGCAAACAGTGTGGGAGCTTTCATATGGATGCTGCCTTATGTTAGTTCAGATTGTTTATCTAGTTCAGAGTGGGATCTGCTTTTTGGCAAGTGCTTTCATCATTTTTGTTAGCCAATTCCCATTTTTCATGGAAATGGCAAAGACTGAATCTGAATAATACAATTTTCACCTGTTGAGAAGAAGCTGACAAATTGGAGCTGCAAGCAAACAATGATATTTGAGTTACCTACACTTGTGTAGTCAGGCCCAACCAAGTTGAAGGTCCCCCACTTTAAAGGCATCAAAAAACCACAATTGTCTTAGTACTGAAGGAATATCTGTCCAACACTTTGGGGGGGTTCCACATAGCTATACCTCAAATGGTCCCTTTTCTCTAAAAGGTGATTGCCCCCGTCTCTCCACTGCAATCAAGGTACCTTCAGTTTACTGTCAACCTTTCAAATATTTCATAAATCAGGAGTTCTACTTAGCTTTGCAGTTCTTTATATCTGATCTGAATATGTCTGCTCTCATGAAGAGAAGGGCTGGGGGGTGTCATGACAGCAGTCTTCCAATCAGAGGTGGGTATTCAGCAGGTTCTGACCAGTTCTGGAGAACCGGTAGTGGAAATTTTGAGTAATTCAGAGAACTGGCAAATCCCACCCCTGACTGGCCCCGCCAACCCCATCTATTCTTTGCCTCTCAGCTGATTGGCTGGGTCTTCTTTGGTTGCCCTGCACAGGAGAACAGAGCTGGAAAGCAGGTTAGTGGGGTGGGGAGGAATAGAGATTTCGCAGTATCCTTCCCCTGCCACGCCCACCAAGCCATGCCCACGGAACCGGTAGTAAAAAAAAAATTGAATCCCACCACTGCCAATGTTTGAGGGGCTGTTACAGAGAAGAGGGAGGGGGCTCTATCTAGTTTCCAAAAAACCTGAGGGCAGGACAAGAAACTAATCAAGGTGAGAACCAACCAAAACACTAAGGAGAAATTTCCTGACAGTAAGAACAATCAACCAGTGAAAAGGCTTGTGCGCAGAAGGTGTAGAGGCACCATCCTTGGAGGTTTTCCCAAAAAAAGAGGATGGCCATTTGTCCGGAGTGGTATAAGATCTCCTGCCATGGACAGAGGATTGGACCACTGATTAATATAAAACCAGAGTTGGAAGGGACCTTGGAGGTCTTCTAGTCCAACCCACTGCTTTAACAGGAGACATTATACCATTTCAGGCAAATGGCTGTCCGATCTCTTCTTGAAAACCTCCAATGAGAATACCCACAACCTCTGGAGCCAAGCCATCCCACTAATTAATCAACTCCCTCTACCATCTTCTTCTCAATCCATGTCCTCCTCAATGCCACAGTGTCTCTTCATCCCGTCCTTCGTCCTTCCCCCAAGTCCCTTTCCAAGCCACTCCAGACCTGGGGTTGGGGGGAACCTCACCCCTAGCCACCCTGAACCAAGAATGCAGTTGCCCCTACAAGGTCCCCATGCAGGATGGCAGAGTAGATGCCCTTGTCCTGGGGTGGAGGACAAGCTGAGGGCTTCTCCTCTCAGGGCGAGGTGCTGGCCAAAATACATCCCTGAGATCTGGCAGACAGCAGCTGGTTCAGTGGCATCTCTGTGGTGGTGTGGCTGTGGGTGCCTCCTGCAGTGCCCAGGAGTCCCGATTTATCTGGCAAATAACTCACCTCTGTAGGCGATGCTGTGTAGACGAGAAGGCTTCCAAGGTCTCGTCCAACTCTGTTATTCTGAAATTGCTTTCAATTATAACCAGATCTTTGGATCTGAGTCCTACCTGACCACTTCCTAGAGCAAGAGTCCCCAAACGTGGCAACTTTAAGACTTGTGGACTTCAACTCCCAGAATTCTCCAACCAGCCAACTATAATTCTGGAAGTTGAAGTCCACAAGTCTTAAAGTTGCCAAGTTTGGAGACCTCTGTCCTAGAGGCATTTGTAATGCACTGAGCATTTTATGTACAAAGGGGAGCACTGTGTCATGTTGTTGGCTTACCTGTCTAATTTGCTACCTAAGTGCTTCCCAATCTGAGCAATTTCCACATGCATGGGCTACAGCTCCCAGAATTTTCTGGAATAGAAAGTATTCTCCCACAATTTTTGTGGAGCAGTCATCAGCTGTTCTATTTTTTAACATATATTCATGGAGCTTGATTTGAAGGCAGACTTTTTAATAATTTTCGCCAAGCTCTGATCTCTCCAGACCCCTATTAGCTCCAAGGGCCCACATACTCTTTCAAATAAAATGATAAAGAATTGCACTGAATCAGCTTTACCTTATTCAGCACATAATTGTGCTCTTATTTCTATCTAATAGATATTTCACCTTCAGGAAGTACAGGGTTTGGAAGTTATTTGATTCCGTATTCACGGCATACTTCCAGTATGATGGCTATTTTCTCCTCCTTCTATGTTCTTGCAATGAAATCTGTCTTCCCTCCATTATCCACAGGTTCTTGTCCAGTGCATACACATTTCTTTTATATCCCCTGAATTTACAGAAACTTGATGCTGTGTCCACCTCTCTGATTGCCCACTATGATTGTGATGTGTTTTCCTCAGCATGGCCATATTATCTTCACAAAATGCTCACCTATTAAAAATAATAATGTTACAGGTTTGTGTCCTGTTTCTTACTGATTTTCAACTAGATTCATAGGTAGACAAACAGCAGAATCAGAGTCTGTATTAGGATTGGACTAAGCAGGCATTGTTAAAGCCCAGATTCATGTGTGATTGTATATACGCACACGAACAAAGCAAAACTAAAGAAGACATGGAAAAAATGTGCGTTAAAAAAAGGCTCATACAATTGTTTTAGGAAATCATAATCAGAGCGTTTACAATAACATGTATCACAATAACATTAATACTGATAGTTGTACCCAGACAACACTGTTCCATTGAAATGAAATTTTTATATATTATACAAATAAAACCAATAAAACTTTTTTTAAAAAAGACTCATACATATAAATTGTCTCCCTAGTTGAATACTGAATAAATATATTTAAGCAATAACAGTCCCTCCCCATCCATAATATTATGAACTTCTACAATTCTGTTTACCCAACCAATTTAACCTAACATCTATCTTCTATATATACAGAAATAGTTAAGAGGTAAGCTCAGCCACAAAGTTAATACTTCAAAGCCTTTGCTAACAATCTAGTATTGTATTTAACTTGCAGAAATTCCACAACAGCTTCAGATTTACCACAAACATTATCCAGGATCAAATATCCTCTATTGTTTCTTAATTGCAAAACAACTTTTTCTTAGAATATTAACTGGGATCCTTCCCAACAATTGCATTCATTTCCTAAAGTCATAAATCTCTGTTGTAAATATCTCTGCAAGCATTTGTTCAAAGAATCTTCCTTCAAGTGGAAACTCAACTTTTCTTGGCAATTGTTTGAATATTCCTTCTTTATGGCCTGTTCGTTCCTTTTCCTTACCCAAAGTCAGTGCTATTTTTGTCATGGTTGGCTAGGCGTTGCCTCTTGCATGCAAGAAATATGACCAGCAACAAAGCTTCAAATCACCAGAATTCATATACCCCTTGCAGGAATAGGAGCCTCCTGATAACATTTTTTATGGTAGGTGGGCATACTTCCAAGTAAAGCACCAGACTTCAGCTTCCCATTATTTTTATTTTCCAAGAAGGCCTGTGGGGTGCATTTGGAGCCCAGAAATATTCTTGCAAATAAATACGATACTGGAGGCCATTCTTTCGCAGCATGCCAAACATCTTAGGTTTTAAATTTGGAAATTATTATTTTAAAAAAATACACAATAAAAACAGGAGGCTTTAGTGGGCACTGAAGAGAACTTGTCTGGACCTATTGCTACCCCTGGGAGCCGTACTGTGGATTCCAGATTTAGCTCCTAAGGCAGTTTATGTCTGCACTCAGAGACCAGCTGCCTTCCCATTTAAGGTCATTTTGAACGTGGCTTATGAAACATGGGTGGGATTAACCCATTTTTCAGAGAGCATGTAACTCTTGAATATAGAATCAGGAATGGGGAAGAGCTTCACCAGCAAGAGATGTTCTGTTTTAGAAGATCCAGGTATACCTACCCCAAATTCTACATCTTCCTTCCTTCCTTCCTTCCTTCCTTCCTTCCTTCCTTCTTTCCTTCCTTCCTTCCTTCCTTCAAATTTATATGCCACCTGTCTCCCTATGAAATGACTTTGGGCCTATCATCAGTTGAGGGCAGTCTATACAAACTGTCTTACCTTTCATAAGAATTGGCAGATTATAACAAAGAGTGTTCATGTGAATTGGATGTCAGGATCTTTAACCTGTCTTTTCTATCACACGTCAGTATTTTCAGAGGCAGGTTAATGATACCAGCTATCATAATTTATGAAGAGAATTTTGATGAGTGTTTAATATTAGATGCATGCCAAATGTGATGTCCTTTTATAAATTCACCTCTTGAATTAATATTTTAACTTCTATCTCCGATACCATGGTATGCCTTCTCTGTGCTATGAAGTTTTCCTTGGGGAATGTTCTCTAAAGTCACCTTCACTGGTCATCTAAAAAAAACAAAAGCAATAGGAAAATGACAGTAGTTTTGATGTCAAAAACAGGAATTTCATATTCTCATGCTATCCCTAGACTTTCAAAATAGGCCAAATTTTCTCTTGGAAAATTGGGAAATTTTCTCATCAATTTCCCTGGCCTGGCAGTAATTTCAATGGTGCTATGGTCTTTTCTTGATTTTGATCCTCCTCCTCCTCCTCCTCCTCCTCCTCCTCCTCCTCCTCCTCCTCCTCCTTCTTCTTCTTCCTCTTCCTCTTCCTCTTCCTCTACTACTACTACTACTACTACTACTACTATTACTACTCCATAGTTCCTCCTTTTTCTTCTCCCCTGCTGGCACACTTCTAACAGCCTCCAAATATTTTTCTCTGTATAAAATTTACAAAAAATCCCCTGCCTTTTGAAGTTAGAAACACCCAAAATTGATGTCAGGAAAACCCTTAAAAAAAGAAAGTGTGCTCATGAAAAAGAATGTATTTTAATTACTAGAAAATAGAAGTGTGAGTCTAGGCCAGTTTCTAAAGATTAAATGCAAACTCTGTTCTTCTGTGTTCTGATTTTAAAAATAAAGACAGGCTGAATGTGTTCCAGATCAAAAAATCTATCTCTAAAAATGTTTCCTATAAAATAGAGAACAGGCTCCGTTGATTTGCTTTGCTGGTATATTTTTGCAAACATGTACAGCAAGAATGTTAGCAGAATGTATTGCCATATATTTCGGTAACACAGCATATGCATCATTACCTTCCTGCAGTCTAAATCACTTTGTGTGATTTTTGGAAGCTAAGAATCTGTTATTGAAAAGGAAGGGCCATAGCTCAGAGGAAGGTACACGTTCTGCATGTTGAAAGTCCCAAAATCACTACATGGTCTCTCCAGGCAGGGCTTGTAACCTCTGCTGTTCATTGCTCTGCTTCCTCCATAGCAATAAACCAGAATTCCAGTCAATCCTGGCTTATTGTTAATGAGCAGGATGAAAATGTGTAGAGTACGTCAAGTCATTATCAGTGGTTCAACCTGGAAATAAGGAGAAATTTTCTGACAGTGAGAGCAATCAACCAACTGAACAGAAGTTGCCTTCAGAAGTTGTGAGAGCTTCATCGCTGGAGGCTTTCAAGAAGAGACTGGACTGCCATCTGTCAGAAATGGTGTTGAGTGGAGGGTTGGACTAGATGACCTACAAGGTCCTTTCCAACTCTGTTAATCTGTATCTGTATAATTCTCTCCAATAATAGTGAATAAATAAACCAGAAGGCAGCAAGAAGAAGCTGTAAAAAACTTATAATTTTATAAATGCACTCAATTCTCCATCTTACAAAATAATCCAGAAACTGACTCCTTCTTTTCAGCTGTTAATTCTACCACATCATATAGGGTCTGCATAAGAAAAAAAGAGGGTTTTTTTCCCCTCAAGTATGGTAAACAAGGACCAGAGTTCAGTCTCATTTCTTAAGCAAAGCATCAGTCCACCTGTCCCAGAGATGGTGAGAAAGAGACTCAAACAGGTCATAATATAACTACTCATAAATGAGAGGCTGGAATATAGTTACAGTTCAGTTTCCAAAGTTGTACAATATAATCCCTTTCCCCTGGTATCAACTCTGGTTAATTAAGGAATCTGGCTTCTTTGGTCATAAAGCAAACTTGCTCCCACTTTGTCCAACCAACCCTTATGGCTGCTTTATCTGGAAAAAAAAAGAGAAAGGAAAACTAAAAATAAGTTATTATGGCATTCCTTCTCTCTCTCTCTTAATTAACCCATGGAATATATTCAGGGATGGGATCTGACTGGTATAACAACCGGTTCTGTCACATGTGTGCAATTTACGACCTGCTGAGCTGCCCCTTTTTCCTGCTTTTTCGACCGCAGCTGTGCTGCGCAAAGCAGCTGCAGTTGAAAAAGCAGGAAATAAAAGGACAAATAAGAGCCCAGGCAGGCAGGTGGACCAAAACAGCAGCAGACACAGAACCGGTTCTTTGTCTGCTGCTCTTCAGAGCTACCGGTTCTGTAGAGATGGACAGAACCGGTAGAATCCCACTGCTGAATATATTGTGGCTTTCAAAAAGAGACTGGACAAACAGTGGTCTGACATGAAATTGGGTCTACTGCCCAAGCAGAGGGTTCGGCTAGAAGACCTCTGAGATTCCTTCCAAGACTATTATTCTATGTTCCCTCTCCTTCCCTCTCTCTTTCTCACTCTCTCTCTCTCACACATCTATCTCTCACATTTAGAAACTGCCCGACCAGTGTACAAATAAAAGATTAAAACCATAAAAGCTGACTATAATTTAAAATGGGCACGAGAATGATTAAAATTTTATCATAAATATTAATTAAAATTTGAAAACTTTGCCAGGATGAGACTGATCAGGTGTTTTTATTTTTAATGTAGTCATCTCCTAAGTTTCTTATAACTCTGTGGGAAGACCCAGAACCTCAGTTTAAAGATTTCCAAGCTGCAGGTTAATTCTCCCCACTCCGCACAGTGTGGAATCCATCTAATACACTTTCTTAAAATTGTGGCTTATTACAGTAGCAGCAACCTGTGAATCCTAGTTTAACTTGCCTGGAAGGATGAGCACAGGAAGAAGGGAAGAGAGGAGAAACAGCTTAATTCTGCTAAGCCAGTTTTCCTCCGGGTTCTATTGCAACATGCAGATGAGACCGAAGTTGAGAAGAGTAGATAACACCCAGTAGTTTTCTGACATGGTAATATAGTATGCCTTTGTATGCCCTTTTTTTTTCCTGACCCATAAAAATTCATCAGTTCAATAGAGAGATGTTTGGTGTGGAAGGGAGCCCTGCACTCTCTGATGTACGTCTGCCTTTGTCTGTCTATCTCTATGCTAATCTTTAACTTTCCCTTTGACATAAATTCAGTCTGAAAACTGCGACCTTTACTTTTCCAAAACCTTATGGGAGGAAAGAAAATCAAATGCTAATCTTCCCTGTCTGTGTTCTTCTCCGGCGTCTCTATGATCTGCCAGTGGAGGAATTTAAATCACCTTGAAACCAACACAGCAAATCAGATGCAGTTTTTGTTCGCTCCAGGCTGGGGAAGTAAAACTCAAATGTGAAAGGGAAATGGCATATTAACAGTGCTGTGGCATATTAATGTTGAACTGAGTTTATACAAGTGACTGGAATACATCACTGGACCATTTGTTCTCTTTATCTCTTTGACCTGTCTGTGGTTTGCCTTTCTCTTAACTCTGGTGAGACACTGGAGTCATTGGCAAGGTTCTTCTTTCTGAAAGATCTTCCTCACCTCTTGAACCCAAGTCAATTGTGCAGTTGAATGGCTTCTGTGAACAGCAGGATAAAATTCTCTGCTTGGAAAACAGTATAGCAAAAATAATACACGTTAAGAGTATTTATTTATTCATTTATTTATAGCCCACCATTATTATCTTTATAAATAACTCAAAGCAACCAACATACCTAATACTCCTTCCCTCTCCTATTTTCCCCACAAAAACAAACCTATGAGGTGGGTTGGACTGATATAGAGTGATTGGTCCAAAATCCCTCAGCTGGTTTTCATGGCTAAAGGGAGGACTAGAACTCACCATCTCCCTGTTTCTAGCCTTCAACACTAGACAATGACTATCTATCTATCTATCTATCTATCTATCTATCTATCTATCTTTATCTATGTATCTTATCTATCTTATCTTTATTTATCTTATCTATCTTTATCTATCTATCTTATCTATCTTTATCTAATCTATCTTTATCTTATCTCTATCTATCTATCTATCTATCTATCTATCTATCTATCTATCTATCACCTATTTATCTATGAAAATAAATCCAAGAGAATTATATTAAATAAACAAAATTGTATATGTTGACAAAATCTATATTTGAGTAGAAATGAAGGTACAAACATTTCATACTTTTTCATACAAAGGAGAAATTCATGTGAAGGCAGAGAAAATAATGAAGCAACGCAGAACAAAAACAAACTAAGATATTCAAAAACTAAGCTATTCAAATCACAAGGATGTAAAAATGGGTCATTGTTCAGTTCAGCACCTTCTTTTCATAATGACAGTTTCACTATGCAAGAATTCATAGCACAAATAACTTGAAACAATGATCGGTTCCTTTGAGTCTCCTCCCTCCCCACACCAACAGCTATAAATAGAGATTTATGCATTGCCAAAGGATGCTTACTTACCAAAGATACCTTATTTTTATTGCAGAAGCAAAATAAAGCATTTGATTTACTAGGGTGGTGCAAATCAGCCAAGTTACATTTCAGATTTCCTATTGGATGGGAAGAAAAGATTTGTAGAGTCAAGTTTTTATGTATTTATCTAAATAAAGAAGATCGGACAAAATAGTCTGGTGCATTTGAGATTATCCATATGACTTTCTAAAGGAAAAGCAGAACGAAAAGGCAGTAATGATTGAGTAGACTTTGCTGACCTTCCTGGAAATCTTCACTCAAATGTTTGAATAATGGACAATTTCTATTTCTATCAGAGCAATGCAGCTAGTAAGACATAGGTAGCATATAAGGGCTGCTAACCACTTTATCATAAAGGGGACGATGGAATATAAAATAAACCCCAAACTTATACAGATATTTGATTCCAGCAGAAGTAATATGCACTGGTGCCAAAATCTGAATCAATAACTGAATGGCACTCAACTTAATTTGATGCATCAAATCAAATTGATTGTAACCCTTTTGAATTGAAGCTTCATTTCTCCCTGTTAATTCTATACAAGACTGAAAGGAAGGACAGATGGCATCTGCTAGTTTCCTCACATCTCGCTTGTAGCTTCTCTCTTCCATCTGCTTTGTTGTTGGGAGAACTGAATGCTGAACTAAGGAAACCTTTGGCTTGATCAAATAAGCTCTCTTTTCTATTTTTGTCTTCTCTGGTTTTCATGTGCTTCTTTTCACCTTGTTTTCAACAGTTCACTTAAAATATTCTATGGTGATTTGGCTGATAACCTTAGAGTAGACAATATTCATTTTGTTGTTTTCATCTAAGAAGATCTGCTTTGGAAATCATTTTTATTGTCTAAAGTCTTGCTTTGGTGAACTTTCAGCTCATATCCTGTAGCAACAGCCATTCCTGCTTCAGAGTCTATGCGCTATACCATATGTGCCCAAAGCATGTATTCCAGTAGAGAAAAATTCTCTAGATGGGCGCTGGCATGAGTTTGAAAGCTCGGAAGAGTAAATCTCTGATCCCAGTGACCAATCCAAATTTGATCTTGCATCATTATCTTCCAGAAATTTTGAATCTTCCAACACAGGAAGTTTTAAAGAAGAGATTAGACAATTATTTGTATGAAATGGTATAGGGTTTCCTGCCTGAAAAGAGGGTTGGACTAGAAGACCTCCAAGATCCCTTCCAACTCTGTTGTGTTCTGTTCTGTTCTACTCTACTCTATTCTACTCTATGCCTAATTCTTCGTTTCTCTTATTATTATTATATGCCTTCATTTTATGTGCTATTGTTACACTACTCAAAAAGTCCCTAATCATGGAGCAGGTACAGTTCTGTACAGCTTTTCACAACTTCATTTTGTGTGCTAGTTCTGCCCTTTCCTAGACCAGAGAATTCTGCTCATGCTTTAACCATGTTGCAATTGGATTACTACAGTGGAGTCTACAAGGGGCTGCCCTTGAAGAGCATCTAGAAACTCCGGCTGGTGAAGAATGCTTATTTTGGCCACTGCCCATAAAAGCATAAATATAAAAGCAGACCTCAAATACATCAAACCAGCAGTTGCAATGAACTTAGAAGCCTTTCTTCGTATTTATCTATGTCTTCATTAATACAGTCATCTATATCAAATCTTAATTCATTGCTTGAGAACATTTAGCAACATTTAATGTTTCTGTATCATCTGATAAAAGATAGTTTACATTAAATTTATCCATCCCTCCTGGATAACCCCTTCAGGCAATGAACAGTGAGTGCAAATGTCTTATTGGATGTTACAGAGTAATATTACATAAACAATGAATTGCCATTGTTCACTGAACATGTTTATTTGGAAATAAGGCTCATTGATTTTAATAGGCCTCTCCCCCTTTTTAGTGATGTGTGGGAAAAATACCTAGAAACAATCTTTCATTTAGGACAAAGGGTTCTGCAAATATAATGAAGTGTAAAGAAGGATGAAGGGTGACATGGTAGCAGTATTCCAATATTTGAACAGCTGCCACGAAGAGGGAGTCAGTCTATTCTCCAAAGCACCCGAAGAAGCAATGGATGGAAACTAATCAAAGGGAGAGAACCAACCTAGAAACTTAGAACCAATCTAGAACTAAAGAGATATTTCTTGACAATGAGAACAATTAATCTGTGGAATGGCTTGCCTATAGAAGTTGTGGGTGCTCCATCACTGGAGGTTTTTAAGAAGAGATTGGATGGCCATTTATCTGCAATGCTATAGGGTCTCTTGCATGAGGAGGGGGTTGAACTAAAAGACCAACAAGTTCTCTTCCAGCTCTTTTATTATTTTATTGCAGGGGTCCCCAAACTTGTCAACTTGAAGACTTGTGGACTTCAACTCCCAGAATATGCTGGCTGGAGAATTCTGGGAGTTGAAGTCCACAAGTGTTAAAGTTGACAAGTTTGGAGACCTCTGTTTTATTCTGTTAAGTGTGATATTCCATTGTTAGGGTCAGGAATACAGAAAAGAGGTATAATGCTATTCTGTGAGAGTTGCAGTTTTATGCAGTTAACATTCTTGAAGTTTTCCTTTTCCTTAATAGTGTATTTTGCCTTAATACCTGCCATTAGCTTGCATTATTTAGGTAACTAAACAAGACCAATAATCCCATAAAGATTTCCTGAGCCTTGAAATAAAATTTGGAGACCTAGCCCATTGCCTATGGGTGCTTTGGGGACTAGAATTGCCATTGGCTAGTTGCTACATTCATTTCTCTAGCTGAAAATAGATTTTGGTGTCTTTTAAACATATTTATGACCTTTCTAGGGAAGAATTCCTAGCCATCTATGAGACCATTGGCTGCTCTACTATTCAAAACCTCCAAAGGTTATGTTTTGAGCAAAAGACTCTTAGAATATGAATTTGGACTGAGTGAGAACCAGAGGATTCTCTGTACAGTCCAATAAATTGTATGTGGCAATTTATATGGAATGGGGAAACCTTGGAAGAATGAATGGAGAAATGGTGAGCAACATTGCATACACATCTTCATCTTGCTCAAGTGTCAACCCCACAGAATTCTAAATATGCACCCTTGGTTGAGGATCTATTTCAGCTCATAATTTTGCAAGCCTAAGAAGATTTTCTCCTTGATCAACCTGGACCATTTCATTAGTAGGGGAGATTGGTATTCTTGTATATTCTCCCCAACCAATTGCATCAGAATAACAGAATTGGAAGGGACAGAGTTGGAAGGGTCTTCTAGTCCAACCCCCTGCTCAAACAGGAAGACCCTGTACCATTCTGGGTCAATGGCTGTCCAATCTCTTCTTAAAAACTTCCAGTGATGCAGCACCCACAACTTCTGAAGGCAAGCCATCCCACTGGTTGTTCTTACAGTCAACAAAATTATCTTCAGTTCTAGATTGCTTCTCTCCTTGATGAGTTTCCATCCATTGTTTCTTGTCTTGCCTTCAGGTGGTTTGGAAAGTAGGTTCTTTGGGGCAGCCCCTCAAATATTGAAACAATGCTATCATGTGCCCCCTGGTCCTTCATTTCACTAGTCTAGAGTCTAGACGTATCCAATTTCTGCAACCATTCTTCCTATGGTTTAGCCTCCAGCCCCCTAATAATCTCAGTTGCTCTTTTCTGCACTTCAAATTACAGCTAGAAGAGTGTATGCTCATTTTTGAGGTAATTGTAGCAAAATGCTTCCCAACCTAACTTCTATAAGTATTTCTATGTTAAATAGTTATTCTGCTCTGCCCATTCTCCAATTTCAGACTCTTCAGAAACTCTATCATGAGTTCTGACCTATTTGGTATGAAACGTTAAACACAAAAAGTCAAGAAATGAACCACTTATGGCTGATGATCCTTTTCCCACTTTTATCTGGTGAAATTAATTTTCAACCATTAATACTTTGTTTCAGGACTAATGTCTGTTCAGAAAAGTTGAAATATTTGGGGTGCAATGGTTTGGTGGAAAGAACTGTTTCTCTTTCTTACATGTACTGCTCCTACCTTTATCAGTGACATGTTGAAGAGAATTATGGTTTTAGTGTCATTAGCATTGCATTTCTTATGATGTCCCATCCACAAAGTTACTATGAAGATATATTATAACCCTTTCTCTTAGAATTGTAGAAAAATCGTGCCAGGACTAAATATGGGGTTCAGCCTGTGTTGAGGTTCACAACACAGTTTGATGTTAGGTCATCTAACATCAAAAACATCATCAAAAAAGCACAACAAAGAATGTTCTTTCTGCGTCAACTCATTAAGCTCAAACTGCCCAAGGAGCTGCTGATCCAGTTCTACAGAGGAATGATTGAGTCTGTCATCTGCACCTCTATAACTGTCTGGTTTAGTTCTGCAATCCAACAAGACAAACACAGACTTCAGAGAGTAATTCGGACTGCAGAAAAAACAATTGCTACCCACCTGCCTTCCATTGAGGACCCATATCCTGCAGGAGTCAAAAAGAGGGCTGTGAAAATATTTATAGACCCCTCACATCCCGGACATAAACTGTTTCAACTCCTTCCCTCAAAACAATGCTATAGGGCACTGCACACCAGAACAACTAGACACAAGGACAGTTTTTTCCCGAAAGCCATCACTCTGCTAAACAAATAATTCCCTCAACACTGTCCAACTATTTACAAAATCTGCACTGCTATTACTATTAACCTTCTCATCACTCCTTATCACCCATCCCCTCCCACTTGTGACTGTATGACTGTAACTTTGTCGCTGGTATCCTTATGATTTATATGGACTGTTTCCTAGTATGATTTGATTGCTTACTGTACCCTGTGACTATCATTAACTGTTGTACCTGATGATTCTTGACTCTTGACAAATGTATCCTTTCTTTTTTATGTACACTGAGAGCATTTGCACCAAGACAAATTCCTGGTATGTCCAATCCCACTTGACCAATAAAGAATTCTCTTCTCTTCTCTTCTATTCCTATTCTATTCAATTATCAATTATCAATTATCACCTTCAACTTTCTCTGATCAAAAATCTGCAGAAGTGGTATGAAAAAACTGTATGCTATTATTGCAAGTTGCATACAAACAGATGTATTTGTTTCAACAAAGCTTACATTGAGGAATTTACATTTGAGAAACTCGGATCAAAGAGATTAACACAACAATGAATGAAAAAGGGTGAGTTGAATTGAGTTGTCATCAAAGCCTCCATAGGTTTTAGAATATCACAAATGTAAATGGTTACAATTGTTGTTTTAATCTGAAGAGAGAGGGGATGAAACAGAAAAAGTGCTTTACTATAATAGGAAGTATATAAAAAATCCACAGATCCTTACTTTTAATCCTAACTTCTGATATCTGAAATGCTATAGTACAAACAATTGCCCTTTAAAGTTGACTTTAAATGTATCTTTCTTTCCCTTTAATTATACCCAACCCAAAAAAGTGAATTTAAATGATTTAAATCACCCACTGGTTGAGCCACACTGTAAACCATAATTATGGTGCTTAGGAAAATAGTTTTAAAAAATTCATGCTGTTTGCATCTTTTATTATACATAGTGACTTTAATATTTTATTCTTTAAACAATAAAGGGAAAATGTACATACCTTGCAAAAGTATGTTTGTAATGGAGCAACGTGGTAGAATAGTTTGTTAGAAGGTCACAATATGAAGTATGCTGTAAACTGAAATAACTTGGATTAATCTTTGTTTCCCAAACTTCTGGTAGATAAAGTCATGTTTCTCCCATCCATTTAAAAATGTGCTAATTACAGGTAATTATGTCTATATATTTCATATGTCAGGTACCACAACTGTTTATTAGAAGGATAAACTTCTAAGTGGGGAATTCTGGGAGTTGAAATTTTAAAGTTGCCAAGGTTGCACAGAGTACAGGGAGTCAACCCATCAGTCATGGACCATTTTCTGTCTATTGGGGGCAGGCGGGAAGTGGAATGAGAATAACAGATTAACAGAGTTGAAAGGGACCTTGTAGGTCATCTAATCCAACCCCCCACCCAAGCAGGAGACCCTACACCATTTCTGACAGATGGCAGTCCAGTCTCTTCTTGAAAACTTCTAGTAATGAAGCTTCTACAACTTCTGGAGGCAGCTATTCTATTCCATGGGTTGATTGCTCTCACTGTCAGAAAATAAACTATGTAGGAAGTTGACTTGGCTGATAAGAACTTGGCACAAAATGGTTGAGTATAAATTCGAGCATTTTCTTACAAGATACATTTGTATGCACTGACTAGACAGTCCAAATGTTTTTCAGCTTTGTCAAAGAACAAGTTTATTTTAGTTATACAGGTAGTCCTCTACTTATGACCACAATTGAGCCCAAGATTTCTGTTGTGAAGTGAAACATTTGTTAAATGAATTCACCCCATTTTACAACTTTTCTTGCCACAGTTGTTAAGTGAATCACTGCAGTTATTCAGTTAGTAACATGGTTGTTAAGTGACTCTGGTTTCCCCGTTTGACTTTTCTTGTAAGATGGTTGCAAAAGGGGATCACAGGACCCCGGGACCCTGCAACCGTCATAAATACGAGTTGGTTGTCAAGTATCTGAATTTTGATCATATGACCATGGGGACATTGCACCGATCGTAAGTGTGATCAATGGTCATCCGTCACTTTGTTCAGTGTTGTTGTAATTTTGAACAGTCTCTTAAATAAACTGTTGTAAGTCAAGGATTACCTGGGTATCAAGGGGGCAGGAATGCAATGAATTCCTTTATTTTGGACCCAGAATATCATTCCACCAGAGGTGGTATTCAGCAGGTTCTGACCAGTTCTGGAGAACTGGTAGTGGAAATGTTGAATAGTTCAGAGAACCGGCAAATCCCACCTCTGACTGGCCCCGCCCTCATCTATTCTCCACCTCCTGAGTCCCAGCTGATTGGCTGGATCTTCTTTGGTTGCCCTGCACAGGAGAACGGAGCTGGAAAGCAGGTTAGTGGGGTGGGGAAGGAATGGGGATTTTACAGTATCCTTCCCCTGCCATGCCCACCTAGCCACACCCACCAAGTCCCACCACACCCACCAAGCCACGCCCACAGAACCGGTAGTAAAAAAAAATTGAATCCCACCACTGCATTGCACATTACTGTGATAAGTTTGAGGTCTATGCATTTTACCAGTATCATCTTAAGAAAAACAGTAGACATGCCAGAAAGAAAATTCACCTTTTCCACTTCATGTTTAATGGGTTATAATCGGAGGTATTATCTTGTCATCTCTGAATGAGAACCAGATTTTTATTTTTTAGTGAATGAGAGAAAAAGGGATGACTTGAATGAAGAGACAGAGTCGGGCAAGAGAACT